CCCAACTTTGTGGGAACAGTTTGGAGCTGGCCCCTTCCTCTTCCAACATGACTGTGCACCAGTGCACAAAGCAAGGTCCATAAAGACATGGATGACAGAGTCTGGTGTGGATGAACTTGACTGGCCTGCACAGAGTCCTGACCTCAACCCGATAGAACACCTTTGGGATGAATTAGAGCGGAGACTGAGAGCCAGGCCTTCTCGTCCAACATCAGTGTGCGACCTCACAAATGCGCTTCTGGAAGAATGGTCAAAAATTCCCATAAACACACTCCTAAACCTTGTGGACAGCCTTCCCAGAAGAGTTGAAGCTGTTCTAGCTGCAAAGGGTGGACCGACGTCATATTGAACCCTATGGATTAGGAACGGGATGTCACTTAAGCTCATATGTGAGTCAAGGCAGGTGAGCAAATACTTTTGGCAATATAGTGTATGTGTTTTTATTTTGTTTCTGTCATTGTAAGATTTACTTGGTTGTTTAGTGAACAAAACCACCGTGAGCAACTGCTAACAGCCGTACCTACTGCATCCCCTACGAGAGAGAGAAATTAGCCATTGAGCCAGACATGGAAAGATAGTTATTAAGAACCTGGTGATGTCACTCCCCGCTCTTCCACTTCCAGCTCCACGTGCCGAGATGTTGTTGAGATCAGAGAAATTAAAAAAATATTCAGTAAACATCTGAAGGCTGATGTGGAGCTGAAATCGTAGATTGCTGCTGTTTCAGATGATAATTCAAAGCTAATTGTTGTTAGCTTCAATATTACTGAAGCAGAGGCTAACTTCATGGTGACAACCTGGCACTGTATTCTGTATTAGGTGTTTTATAGGTTTGTGGTTTAAAATGAAAGTTTTTAGAGCAATTTATACTGTGTTTTATTTATTAAGGTGGCGGGTTTTCGCATTGTTTTTGTGCTGAACACATGCGGATTATACAACCTTGGCAGGGAAGGACGGGTGGAGTTGTTGGCAATATCTTTAAGAATATAGTAGATAATTTCTTGTTAGAGCAGTAGAGGATTTATTTGAAAATCGTGTTCAATTAAAATATTAAATACTTATTTATAAACTAATAACTGGTATACTGTCTGCACCAGAGGCGTAGCAAATCGTGTTTCCTCACTGTGTGTTTTCTACTGGGGCTGCTGCTGCTGATGATGCCCGGCATCCTGTCCGGTCTGGATGTTTCTGACCTGGAAGCTGTGATGCCTCCATACTGAGCTTGAACTGGCTGATGGTTCCTCCACACAAACCATTTCCACACTAGATGTTCTGGAACAACCACAAATGTTTCCATCATAGAACGCTGAGCTTCTATCACCTCATGGAGATTGGAACAGCTATTTATCAGAGTTCTGCCATGGTGCTAATAGATGTAGGATATTTGTGGTAAAGTAAGCTTGTTTGATTCATAATAACTCAGAACCACCTAGTATGTCCTGCTGCAGGATTTGAATCCAAAAATACATGAAATCAGTATCCCATCATCTACACTTTAAATTGTGATGATAAATTTTGGAGAACTTTATTAACATTTTAGATCATCAAAGTGCATATTTACTTTGAGTGTTAACTAATTGCTTTGAGCAGTAGCTGGAGTATAACTGTTACTATTGTGTAGAATTAACTATAACTACTTACTTTTTACAGCAATTTACCAACACTTATTGTAAACCAAGTGTGAAAACGGAGCCGTTTTCCCCCTCTGTTCCCAAAGTATAACCGCCGTCTATCACACACAGCGTCGCATCCTTCACTACATTTCCCAGCATGCACCACAGACCGGCCGTCATGGGGGCGGCAGTTCCAAACATTTCACCCGATTATTTACACTAGTTCTGAAATTACAACGTCACCTTTCATTTAACATTTTTCTTACTCACCAGCGTAGCGAACTCTGAAAGTATCCACTGCGTCAGCATCAGTATACATTCCGTAGTCGGCAATAAAACTTCCCAGTCAAATTACACTTTCTCTTCCCTTAGTCCGTCAGAATACTGGTCCGTGTGGAAACACGTACCGCATCGGAGCAGGTCTCTTATCCATTGTCCCAGGGCATTTGAAAAGACTACAGGTGCTGGTCATAAAATTAGAATATCATGAAAAAGTAGATTGATTTCAGTAATTCCATTTAAAAAGTGAAACTTGTATATTATATTCATACATTACATACAAACTCATATATTTCAGATGTTTATTTTGTTTAATTTTGATGATTACAAATGACAACAAATGAAAATCTCAAATTCATCATATCAGAAAATTAGAATATTACTGAAGACCAATAAAAACAAAGGATTTATAGAAATGTTGGCCAACTGAAAAGTATGAACATGAAAAGTATGAGCATGTACAGCACTCAGTATTTAGTTGGGCCTCCTTTGGCCTGTATTACTGCAGCAATGCGGCGTGGCATGGAGTCGATCAGTCTGTGGCACTGCTCAGGTGTTATGATAGCCCAGGTTGCTCTAATAGTGGCTTTTAGCTCTTCTGAATTGTTGGGTCTGGTGTATTGCATCTTCTTCTTCACAATACCCCATAGATTTTCTATGGGGTTAAGGTCAGGAGAGTTTGCTGGCCAATTAAGAACAGGGATACCATGGTCCTTCAACCAGGTACTGGTAGCTTTGGCACTGTGTGCAGGTGCCAAGTCCTGTTGGAAAATGAAATCTGCATCTCCAAAAAGTTGGTCAGCTGCAGGAAGCATGAAGTGCTCTAAAACTTCCTGGTATGTGGCTGCGTTGACCCTGGACCTCAGAAAACACAATGGACCAACACCAGCAGATGACATGGCACCCCAAACCATCACTGACTGTGGAAACTTTACACTGGACTTCAAGCAACGTGGATGAAGTGCCTCTCTTCTTTTCCTCCAGACTCTGGGACCTTGATTTCCAAAGGAAATGCAAAATTTACTTTCATCAGAGAACATGACTTTGGACCACTCACCAGCAGTCCAGTCCTGTTTCTCTTTAGCCCAGGCAAGACGCTTCTGACGCTGTCTGTGGTTCAAGAGTGGCTTGACACAAGGAATGCGACAGCAGAAACCCATGTCTTTCATACGTCTGTGTGTGGTGGTTCTTGAAGCACTCACTCCAGCTGCAGTCCACTCTTTGTGAATCTCCCCCACATTTTTGAATGGGTTTTGTTTCACAATCCTCTCCAGGGTGCGGTTATCTCTCTTGCTTGTACACTTTTTTCGACCACATCTTTTCCTTCCCTTCGCCTCTCTATTAATGTGCTTGGACACTGAGCTCTGTGAACAGCCAGCCTCTTTAGCGATGACCTTTTGTGTCTTGCCCTCCTTGTGCAAGGTGTCGATAGTCGTCTTTTGGACAACTGTCAAGTCAGCAGTCTTCCCCATGATTGTGTAGCCTATAGAACTAGACTGAAAGACCATTTAAAGGCTTTTGCAGGTGGTTTGAGTTAATTAGCTGATTAGAGTGTGGCACCAGGGGCCATCAATTTTGAACCTTTTCACAATATTCTAATTTTCTGATATGATGAATTTGAGATTTTCATTTGTTGTCATTTGTAATCATCAAAATTAAACAAAATATCTGAAATATATGAGTTTGTATGTAATGTATGAATATAATATACAAGTTTCACTTTTTAAATGGAATTACTGAAATCAATCTACTTTTTCATGATATTCTAATTTTATGACCAGCACCTGTATTAAGGGGCAGGGGTGTTAAAGCTGAAGTCTGTAAGTTTTTAAAAATCACTTTTTTGTCATATTGGCTAAAACTGTCCCTATGCCCAGACAGCAGTACATGTGATATGTAACCTGTGAAAAAAACTGCTTCAATTGGTACCGCCTACTGCCTGTATTTCAATCTGGAAAGAATAATTCGGGACGAGTCAAAACAACCAATCACAGCCAGAGGAGCGTCTGATGGAGTGTCAATCACAGCTCACACACGCTGAATCCCAACCCCCCCCCCCCCCTCTGCTTCACTCATGGGGCATGAGTGAAGCAGAGAGGGTGGGGGAGTGACGTGAAACCTGTTTTTCTTCAAATTTTCAGTCGAAGTCTGCTCTCTCCTCAATGTTACAGACTGCAGCTTTAAGTGGGATTTCAGTGTGTGTAATAATTGTTTGCATGGTAATAAGTAGGTGAAATGGTAATGTTTGTATGGTTAAATTATTTCATAAATATGTATGTTTTTGTATGAATGATGATATTGTCTGTATTTATTTTTCTATAATGTTAACTGTGGTTTATTTGGAATTTGCCTTCCTGTTTAGTTGGGCTGTCCCAATTGGCTGATTATTGGTGGGTCTATTTAAGGGGCATACTCACAATGTCTTGGGAAGGGCTGCTTGGAGGGCTGGATGGAGAAACTGCTTTGGAAGGTCTGCTTTAAAAAACTATATTTAATGTCAGCTTGCTGTGAGGCTGTCAGTTTTTTTTTTGTATTGCCTGCAAGGGCCGGTTTTGTTTTCTTTATTTGAAAGTATTTTGTTTGTTTTTTTTTTTTTTTTTGTCTTCACCATCGCCAGTAAATAAATTGCTACACGCTTTTTAACTGGAATTTTGTCGTCCGCTGGTTCTTACCATTTAATTTTTTTGCAAGTCATCTGCTTACTCCTCCTCTGACGTGAGACGGGAGCTGGCGAGCCGTTTTTCTCACACAAAGCATATTCTTTTTATCCATCTGGTTGTAACAGCACTGGCTTCTGAAACTGTGGATCTTTGGCTCTAAAATACACAGTTCCCCCAAAGTAGAACAAAAATGGCTGCAAACCATAGTTTTTGGATCTTATGTTTAGAATGTCTGCATTGTTTTAGGGGATCATTTCAGACAAAAATAATTTTTTCCCTTCCAGATGCAAAGTATGATATGAATCCATGAGAGAAAATAAATGCTTTTATTATAAAGACAAACCTGGAAAAACACTCATGGCATTTTGGGGGTCATAACTCTGATCCAGACACCTGGGCCAGCTATCATGACTAAAGACTTGACAGGGATTGTTTTCTTGTTTTGTAGACAAGCTAATGAAGAATACCAGGTCCTGGCTAACTCCTGGCGTTATTCATCCGCCTTTTCCAACAAACTTTTCTTCACGGTTGTGGACTATGATGAGGGAGCTGATGTTTTCCAACAGGTATGCAGTTTGTTTTTGAAACATAACAGTTGAATGCAACCAAAATGATCATTTAAGTTTTTATTTTACATTAATAAATATGTTTTTATGCTAATACCATCCTTTTTATTGGAAACCAGTGACATGTTTTGTTTTGACCCTATTATTTACTCTTTCTTTTTTGTAAGCTTCCATTTTTTTTTAAATAAACAAATATTTGCTTGACAGATGATGATTTTTCTAGTACAGATAAATCAGACTTAAGCATTTTTTTGTGTTCTTATTATCTTTTTATTTATATTTCTTTCTCATAAATGCGAACCTCTTTACATATTGAACTTTATTCTTTAAAACAACATCAAAAAATAATCTTTTCTATTTTCTTTGCTGATTCCTCACACTTATACCGAATGTTTATATTCATGGGAAGATGGTGAATAGTACTCTTCCAATTTTTATTTGACTTGTTTTTCTGCCAGGATTGTTTTTATTTGTTTAAATAAAAAATGTCCAGATTTTCCCTTGGGATGACCACTGTTCATGTTCTGTCCAAGGCACCTGTTGGGGGCTGACAGAATAATAAAATTGTCTGGTTTTCTTAAATTGACTGGAGCCAAGGCAAAGAGTTTCTTTTGCTCTCCTTAGTGTGACGTCATCTCTGAACCGCTGTACTCTATATGAAGGGTTCTTCATAGAGTTAATAGCCTGCAGCTGCTGTTACAAGATGTCAAAGAACAACTGTACCTTTATAGATAAACATGTATTAAAGGCATAAAAAAAAAAGTATTTTCAAACTCACCAAGGAACACAGTTCCTCAGCATAATCACAGATGCAAGTTTAAAAATTTACAAAATAAGTAACCCAGAAATCTAAAATAAACTACCGCAAAAAATGCAAATAATGCTTGACTTTAGTATTGATACCATGGCAAGTTAGTTCTATATCCAGAAAAAAGTATTTAGTATCGATACTTTCCGGGGTATCGGTGTTTTTGATGACCTTAGCAAATAAAACCTTTAAGATAGGTTGGGATTTCAGTAAGCATATATAGATTATAAAGGCTAGTTATGGGAACATGTCAAATACTCAGAAATATCTTGAGAAGTTCATAAGCTTCAGCTATGATTATGTATTTTTCAGGCACCAGTTGCCTTTATTTAACAGTCTGCTGATGGGAAATAGGATTGAAAAAGAGAGAAGACATGCGGTAAAGGTCCACAGGCCAAGACTTAAAGACTAATGACGCACGGTGATTTATTGCAAAGATTTATTTAAGATAATGAAAAGAGGAAAAAGATAGTTTAATTAAAGTTTTCCTGCAGATAGCTTTTGACAGTCTCCATTTGGACGCTAAGCCAAATATGCTAATTGCTAACAAAGCTGGCTGTTCAGATCGCTGTATCCGAGCATATTAATGGATAGTTGGCTCAAAGTAAATGTGTGATACATAAAAAAAGCTTAAGTAAAAAGGGCAGCCACAGACTGGAGAAAAATATGCAGCAACATTAATTTAGAGGAAATTCAGAAGATATGAACTGTGGCCAAAGTTGGTGCTTCACAACCCACTATTCACCGATGTATATTACTACAGTTAAACAACTCTGATCAAAAGAATAAATCAGAGGCTTCTTATTTGGGCTAAAGAGGAAAAAGATTTCAGCAAAAAAATAAAGATTTAAAGAGCCTCCTCTGCTGAAAGGACTTTTTATTTGGCTTATCTAAAATGATCTATTAATTTTAGATAGCTCACTGATCAATCTATTATCTGAAACATAATTTTAGCTACTTAAATTTACCTTTCCATTGTATTTTACCTTCTTGAGATGCATCACCATGTAAGGAGAAAAAAAGCTCCACGTATGAGTCTTAAATGTTGCCCTGACACTTATACTGAGACCTGTTAAATGTAGTTTTTATAAATGTTACTGCGTTGAAACGCTAACTGAACAACCCTTCATTTTTTTATACCGCTGCTGGTTCTTATCCTTCCAGTTCTCTCTTCTTTAATTTTCCAGCCTGCTTCATAATTGGTTCTTGTACTGTGCTCTCCGTCCTTGACTCTGTGACAAACAAGCTGAAAGGCCGACTTTAAAATATCGCAACACTTATTCTTCTGGTACGTGTCAAGACAGAGAAATATCTGGGCTGTAGTGGGGCTTGACCATGAGTTGACATAGATAGTCTGAGATTTCTTTAGGGGAAAGCTGGATTATCTAGATGGCATGGATAAGACTTTGACTGCTTTGTCCTATTGCCAGCATGAAAAAAAACACTGATGCAAATTCATCTTATAGCTGATAGCAGCACTTTAGTTTTACCTGCATAATGCCGCTGATACAGAACAGGAAGCAGTTGCATCTCTTCACTGACGGGAAGAATATGTATACAGAGGCTGCTTTTCCACATCTGATTTTTTATTACTTTTACGTTGTAATGAATAAGCATTAATTTCCTAGGCCATATTAAGCCATTTAGCAGGTTGATCTTTTAAATGTATAAACATATCTAAATTACTATTTCAAACAATGCACTGCACAGATAATTGAATTGAAATCGAGAGACAAATACTTATTTGTTGCCAGTTGATTTATCAAAATACTGTATTGATCTATTGGTGTCATGCTAGCTAGGTTTTGTCAAATTATAATTTATATTTTGTGCTTATTTCTTTGTTTTTCAGTTGAATATGAATAGCGCCCCAACTTTCATGCATTTCCCTGCAAAAGGAAAACCAAAGAGGGCTGACACATTTGATCTGCAGAGGATTGGCTTCGCCTCAGAGCAGCTGGCCAAGTGGATTGCTGACCGCACGGATGTTCAGGTAGGACCTAATCAAACTCTGTTTACAAGAACCCATCCTCTAATTTAAAAGGATTTTTTGAGATCCATTGTTTTTGTTCTTATTCATACATTTACAAGTCTCCTGTTTCCATGAGCTTTACTATGCAAGGTTACATTGATGCTTTTTCATTGCCTTCAGGGTCAAAGCAATGCAGGCAATATTTCCTCTTTTAATGGTTCACTGTCAGCTCTAATAATAAGCCCAGATGGGAGGTCTGGTAGGAAGGAGAATTTCACTTGCATCAAACATGCCTTTTTAATTGTACCTTCATTTATACAGAATCCAGAACAGCCTTGACACTTGCTATCACTTAGGGGTTTAAAGTCACAATAGAATTTTATATTTTTCATACAATCATGAAAAAAATTATAATGCGTGTCATATGGTTGGGCAAGATATCGCTGCTTAAAACCATCAAGATTTTTGCGAAAAAAGAGATGGTCTACACTGCTATTTTCTTCTCCAGCTGTCCATGCTAAACTTCACACTGTCCTGCCCTCTTCCTCTCTGAACACTAATCAAACCCTCCACCACCACCTCTCTCATTCTGTTTGAGGATCATTGTTAAATATTCACCAATACCATATGGTTGGGCCATTTCTGTTGTACATCTGCAGCTGCTAATAAACGTGATCATATTATATTTGGTGCAACACTTTAATTTATCTGTGTCTTTTATTATTACATTAAGGAAAATAAAAATGATATATAAAATATTTTGATGCAGTTTAAAGATAACTTGGTATTATTTTGGCCATTATCAGCTATTTGATGTCTGCTATGCTTTTCTTGATTGATTCAGATTTAGGTGATATGTTAAAAGGCACTAAAATGGTTATAGAGTGGTCAAAAGCACTTTAAAGAGCCTTGTTTGCTGATCAAAAAAGATTTAGAAGTTCAAGTAGACTTCTGCATTTCTTTTCTGATGGCAGGTTAAGTTCCAAATCCCCGCCTTTATTTATTTTTATGTTTTTATTATTGTATTACTTGTCAGATGTTATGCTGAACTTAGCTTTTTTAGAAAAAGTCAGTGGGATGTGCAGAGGGAAGTGGGCTGCCATTCGGCTGGCGTTAGACTGGAAAGGGCCATTTTGAACAGCTGCCACTGTATACCATAATTTCAACCATATTCCTTTTCTTACTCTCCTGTGTGTCCCAAGGACAGGTTACAGGTCTTTCTCTAACTGATAAACACTGACTGGTCTACTCGGCATATTAGTTTCTGTCTTAGAGCGTCCTACAGGCATCAGGCAGTAAATCAGAAAAGGGGTGTCTGCACGGCTCTAAAGGGTATTAAAAGGTTGTAAATTAAATAACCAGAAGTTGAGACCATAGAAAAGAATTTAAAAGTAATAAGTGTGACCTAATAGTGTTACTTTCTTCAGCAATGGCCCTGTTTTTCCCCCTTTTTTGTTAAAGGCCTGTCTTTTAAAAAATACATGACTTTATCTTGCCTACATTATAGCTTTTACTCTGTGAGAGGGACCTGAAACTTCAGTGATGTGATGACATCGGTCAGTGCCTATTTATGGTCAAACAACCGAAAAAAAAAAAAAAAAAGAATATATATATATATATGTAGCTCAGTCAGTCTGTGCTCTAACCATAGCCTTTCTATGCTCTGACTGAACAGCCCAGCAGGACTGCTGTCAACTTGTCATGGGAATGTGTAAGTTTTGGACATCTGGTTAGAGGATGTCAGTTTCAACGACAGGTGAAGTCCTAGTTTATATATGAAATGCTCTGGGGTCTCATTAAATGAAGCTTGCATATTCACAAAATGGAGCCTGAAAATTGTGTACGCCAAATTCCACGTAAAGGTTGGGATTTACAAAAACCAAACTTGGAGAGAAAATGCGTCCCTCCTGCAAACTCTGACCCATCAGTACAGGTACCCATACTGAGGTTTTGTTTGGGTCAGCTTCTTTTTTTTTTTTTCTTTTTTTATACATTGAATAACTTCTTTACAAATCTTACTTGGATGCCAGTTTTTACAGACTAAACAGGGCTAATTAGGAAAAAGCAGACAAGCTCCTTTCACTCCCTCCTTCCTTTATTTCTGTTATGGACATACAACAGTTGGGGTGGCTGGTCATTCTGTATAGCTCATAAAATGGAGCGAGAGACACAGTCAAGAGTAATGAAGAAGTAGAGAGGAGGTTAAAAAGAGGATAAAAAGAATGAATATGTCTGCAAATTGCTTTAAAATAATGGGGAGCAGGTAGGACCTAAACAATGAAATTTGGAAACCCTAACATAGCCTATTCAGCATAACAAAGATTAATTCCAGCTTAAGAAACCTAAGGAGGTCAAAACTGACTTAATGAATCAAATGAAAAACAAAATTTTCACAAACAATAATGTACATTTTTCAATATAGCTAAATAACAGATTTCTTTAATATTTCTTTTCCTATCCATTATCTACTGTAAATGTTGTTTTTGGAAGTTTATGTTATTAAAACAATTATTATAACAAGTTTTTTCTTTTCTTCCCATATTGATTTTGAAATCATGTTACTTATTTGTATTTTTCTTGTTTCATTACTGACATTTCCTAACTGAAATTCCAGAATCAGCAGATAGCTCTCCGTCTGATTCCATCATTTTAAACATTAAATCAGTCGTTACGAGCAAACACTTCCTGAGTAATGAGTTGCCATTTTACCAATTACTTTTTTACCCTGTGTTCTCTGTGTTTTTTTTTCTTCTGCTTCAGTAATAAACTGTTAAAGTAGTACAACTCTTATTTGAGTAAAACACTGGGCTATTCTACCCACCTCTGACTGATACACCCCTATTTTCTGAGTCACTTATTTTGTTTTCACCAAAACAATTTTTCCATTAATTGAAATGTTTGATTCAACAATCTGTTTTTGTATTTGGTACCACTGTGGTTATTTTCTCATTTGCTGTGACTGATTTGTTGATTTCCTACATTTCTCCTAGATCCGTGTCTTCCGTCCTCCAAATTATTCTGGGACTATTGCTTTGGCTCTTTTGGTGTCCCTGGTTGGAGGTTTACTGTATCTGAGAAGGAACAACTTGGAATTCATATACAACAAGACTGGATGGGCCATGGCTGCATTGGTATGATAGTAACATGCACACACACTACCTTGAGGTGTAAAACAAATACTTTTTTGATTGCGCAATATTTTCTAATTTTTGTTAGATAAATGTTGGTTTTGTTTTATCGTCAGGTTACTGCTTAGTTTGGTTTTGATAGATGCAGAACCCATACTAACATAATATACAGTAAGCTTCCTGGTGTAAGGTTAATCAAAGCATATTAATCTGGAAAGCATCCTGTAGAAAGTGTTCACAAAACTGAGGGATTATTACAATTAGTTAATAAGATAAGTATTAATAAGTGTTAAGTACAATTCTTCGAGCTGATAAAGTACCTGCCTCCCATGTCGAGTTTTTAGTGAGTCCCAGCAGCTGTAGCCGGTGAAAACATTTCACATTCTTGATTTGTATCACAGAGTTAACCGATACATCAAAATCTTTAAAATCAGGTCAGGAGGAACGCAAAACTAGGTTCCCATCCACTAAAATAAAAATTGTGTTTTTCATTTTATCTTTTAAAGTAGTGGATAGTTTTCCAGGCTAAAACCGACACAGCCATGTTTGTTTTGCTTCAGCCTTCTGCCTCAGGTTGACGAGACACGTCCCTGCATTTCAGTGGTCCGAAACATTTCTGTATTGAAGCCGAACACATCTGTTGGCTTCTGGCAAAGATGCATTTTAAGGAGTATGTGAATTCACAAATCTCATGACAATTCATCTTTTTTTGCAAGGTAGTTATTTTGCATCCAAAACCATAAAGAGTGGTTTGATAGTGGTTATAGAGATGTAAACAAATAACTGACTAATTTTTTAGTGGTAAATTAATAGTTTATTAGATTCAAATCGGTTCCATCTGATCTTTTGATGATTTTTGCCTAAAAGGAAAGTTTTCCATGGTGTTATGTTACCACCGTCGACTAGAGAGCACCACTGTCCATTCTTAGGATCCTCACTGTTATTCGCACGATAACAAAGCCAGAGCGGAGATAGGAGTACTAAAGCAGAAGCATGAATGTGTGGTCCAGTATTATTTACACCATTTACCAGCGACAAGGATAAAGAGTGAAAATGATGCTGTTTTATTTGTAAAAATAAACACTCAATAAAGTCTTTACGTTATCACCTAAATAGTGCCCACTACACAAAGCAATGTCAACTCCTCAGTGCTTGAAAACCAAGGATGTAATGATAAAAAAAAGGGAGGGCTTTACACATGATATTGTAAAATGTTAGAAGAAATGCTAGCAAAGCGCAGTAGATCGGGAAGGCTTTTGTGATTTATCACATTTCATAGAGTTGGGTTTTAACAGTCCTCTGGGAGCAACCAGAACAACCTGTTCAAAGGCAGTAGTGACAGAGTGCTGTCCCTCCCACCAGATTGTTGCTTTACACTAAAAACAGAGAGCTATATCACAGTAACTGTCCGCTTATTTAATTCTGAGTAAAAAATCGCCAACAATTCAAATTCCAAATTTCATACTTCACCTCAGACTTCAGCTCTCTGAACGTTTGTTTATGCTTGCTGTTTTTGTGCCTGTCTTTACAGTGTGTGGTGTTTGCAATGACATCTGGCCAGATGTGGAATCACATTCGAGGTCCTCCCTATGCCCACAAAAACCCTCAAAATGGACAAGTGGTATGACACAATGCTTTTCTCCTCATCCTCTTTTCATGTTTCTTCCTTAACCTTTCTTAAAAGCTTTCATCTCTTCCTCTTCTTTATTTTCATTAATCACTGCGATATTTTTATTATGCTTATTCTTATGTCTAATTTTGTTTAGTTTCCTTTTGTCTACTTTATTTTGAAGGCAAATGCTACTTACTGATAATGTGTGTAAATCCTCACATAGATGAGAATGGCTGGTCATCATTAAAGTTTGTTCACTCATGTGTTAAATTAAAATGAAAATCTGTGGAAAACTGAAGAAAATGATTACAAGCAGAGAAGTAGATAAAAGGGGGGTGGGGATGGATATTGATGGAGTAATGAGCAGGATGTGTGCGAAAAGATGAACCCTAACCAATAGAGTGCACAACTAAAAGGAGGTTGCTTTGTCTGGTCAGTGCCATCTCCACATTTTCATACACAGACGCACAAAAGCCGCTCCATTCTCAGCCATGGACAAGGTCAAAATGCAAGTGAGCTGTACACTTTCTGTGGACACACTTGATCAACTCCACACAGAAACTGAATAAATGGTAGTCACATCCAGCAGAGCTCAACACAAATACACAGCAGAGGCATGCACATAGCATACCCACAGACTCCCATGGAGTAATAAAAACACTTTTCTACCTCCTTCCTGCCTGCCTCTTTACTTTTTTCCATTCCAGCATTTTTTTTTCCTGGATCTCTGTAAAAGGCAGTCTATTTATCAGAGGATGTTGCCTCTGTCATTTTTCAAACTTTTTGATGATAGGTTACACAGTCCTTCAGTGCGGCTTTTAATTTAGCCTTCACCCGTTCTTCCCTTTCCTGTCATTTCCACCTCCAGCCAAGCCTGTCTGTTTGCTACTTTCCCTTAAACCAGTTTTGATCACACATATAGTCCCTTCTACAGTTCACAATTTTTATTAAGTGAATGTGACCATACTCTAAATCAACATTTGATCACTCAAGTGCAAATGTCTTATAAAGCTGTCATTTCATAAAGATAAAATGTATACGACTCTACAGTAGATTGTTTTAACACAGGTGAAATGGTTTTGTTGAAGCAAAACCACAAAATAAGAAAAGGGCCTTAAGATATTACAAATGTTCCATTTTAGGATATATTCATCAGTTTCCTAAATACACCATTGTGACAACTCCCACATGCGTATTATTTCATTTTTGCACTGAGTGCTGCATGTGCCCTCTATTCTTCCTCCCTCACCCTTCTTTCTGACTTTTATCTCTTTTCTGATTTTCTTAGTTTCCATTCCCAGTCCTTTTGCTTCTCTGGCTATTCTCGCATTATACAGCAGTTTTTAGACTAAAGTGTGTGTTTAGCTAATCGAAATAATTCTTGCTTGCCTGTCTGTCCTCTCTTATTTGAATACCATGCTCTTCTCTGCAGCTGACTGAGCAGGGTGATGATGGCAGCATTAAAGCTTAGTCAAGTTTTAAGAAATTAATTCAGTGCTGTGAAAAACTATAGCTAAAGGCGTATTTGTTACATGCATTCATCAGCAGGTTATTCAAAATTTCTTAACAGCATGCACACACATGTTTTTATATAAGTTTTCACCTGTGACAAATGTGAAATTGGGATTTAGAATGGCTTACAAAATACGGAAAGAAATCCGTACCTTTACATAATAGTGTAACTACAGTTGAATGTAAAATGTTGAATGTAATAAAATGAATAATTTTATTATACATCACTATAGAGGTTATTGTTTTAATTTAAAAGTTTTACCTATTAACCTTATGGCTTTATAATATTAATTTCTGTCGTGATGACAGAATTGGTATAGACATGATACATGCTAACTCCTTACAGTTGGCTATTCTTGATCTGATGAAGTAAATAAGTGGTTAGCTAAGCTACATCCTTTTACTTTTATTTTATCTATTTTCTGACAGTGAATGGCTTCAGCTCTGCTGGCAGAATTTAAAAGATGCTCATCTTCTCCTTTCTGTACTCCTCCTCCCTTGGCTTTTTTTTTTCTATAACTTTCCCGCACCCCTCCTCTAATCCCTTCATCTTCCCAGACAGTGTAATTCCTTTAAAATGATGAGCAAGCGAAGCCAGGTAGACTGTATTGAAAGGATTTGTCAACTGACAAATGGCACAACAAAGTAGATAAAACTACTCTGCGTCACACTGTGCAGCCATGGAAATACGGCTTGCTCATTTTTTGCTTAGACATTCACAAAATGGGACATGGAGAAGTTAGCTTTAACAAAGCTATACACAAATGTGACAGGCAAAAATTTGTTACACAGTCAGCACTTGCACACCCATGGAGGGAAACGGTTGTGTGCTCGCCGCCTGAACCTCAATAACTGACGCCACGAAATCTATTTCGTTCTGGATTGATATTTCTGCTTCCAGCAGATGTTACCTTTCCATCAAACTCTAAACTTATCTGCAACAAAGCATATTCATGGTCTAATTTGGCTGAAACCATTTTGTCTGGAGAAGGATCATTTGCAACCACATCTATAACATTCTATCCATCCTTTCTTATCTGAACTGCTGTGACTAAAAGCTGACCCAAACTGCTGCATTTCTGCTAAATATAGTCCTTGTTAAAAAGAATTTAAACCTCAAGAGTCGCAATTAAAAATAAAGTTGACTTTCCAGAGTAGATGGAGTGGACTTTACAGTGTAAATTGAGCTGTGGAGGTCTGTTTCAACACATTTGAATGTTAATATTAAAAGTCAGTTCAGCTTTTGATTATTGGAGTTAATATTAATGAGAACCAGATGGTAAAAACTGACCAGACTTAACCCCGTTTATTAAGTTTTCTGAAGAGATTAGGTGATAGTGATAGAAAATCACTACCTTGTTTGCATCTGGTCTACAAGAGGGGACAGAGTAGACTACCTACGGAGGAGGCTAAGGTCATTTGTGTTTGCATCATTATGCTGCAGATTTTCTATAAATCTATTATTTAAAGTCATCTCTTCTACCATTTGTTGGGTAGCAGCCTTAGACTTCAAAAGCTCAAGAAGCTAACCAAGAAAAGTGTCTCCGATCTCTGTATTCCTCCAGAATCGCTGGAGATGATTGTGCAAAAAGGAATCTTTGTAAAGGTATAGTGGAGGATTTTCACGAATTTTGAAAAGATCCTCCCTCTATTCTTTAAAAAAAAAAATGCACATGCACAAACAGGACACCCGCTCCTGAGAGGGAACGCTTATTAAACTCGTGCTAGAGCATGCAGCTGCCAATTTCTCCTCATGCATGCTCTGTTTAAAAGTTGCTGTTTGCATCACTCATACAAGCTTACTTTCCAAAAGAAGATTTGCTATTTTTCCACTATGGCAGACTCAACACCGGTGAGTGAAAATGGGGACGAGCACGTAGAACGGCCTTACGTAAACATATCACCAGAATGATTGACCAGTAGGAGGACTGTTATTTTGAAAAGCCACCCAGAAAAAGAAAATCCTCTACTACATCTTTAAGTGAAGAGTTTTATATACTCTGAGTATCTTCTTCATGAAATGTGTGTAGAATAACAGAGTGTTTTCAGTCAGAGGCTTTTCAGATCTAGAACATTACAGAATATCCTACCTGCCAACAGCCATCAACATCTACAGTTCTTTGAAGAAACTTGCATTAGTTGGATTGTAATTGTCCTTGGGATTAGTTGTTTTTGTTTTATTCAATATAATTATATCTAGTAAAAAAATAAAATAAGAGGAAATAACAGCAAAGATATTCTTACTTAAGAAAAACTGGTTTAAACTTAGACTAAGGGTGATTTCTCCTCTACTCTGTACTTAAGTGACTTAAAATGTGATGGCACCAGAAAAAAACTCATATTAACCCCCCATCCTAAAAAGTTAAATTTAGTCTAGAAACTTTGACACTTCTAGTGACAAGGCAGATGGAAAGAATACAGTGACTGGATCTTCTATTTGGGGAAATTGAACCGATTTTGACCAAACCCCTTTCGAGTTATGCAATAAGAAGGACTGGGTTGGACTGACTTCCATAGATGACATAATCAAAGACAGACAGTCTCACACATTACTTCACGTTAAAAAAAAATTTGGTAATTTATTATTAGGGCAGTATGTAAGGAGAATTCTGTCTAAACAGTGCTGGCAGGTCTACCAAGCTCATACTGAACATGGTGCGAGTGAATGTTGCAACCAGGCTTGCCCAACTATAGCTCTGGATGCAGAAACGGCACTCAAAATCACTCATTAATTAGTCTAGTCAGAGCAAACACTCCTAGATAGGTGTAGAAATGTCTTTAAAAAAAACTGATCGAAACTACAGTAGCTTCCAGTTTAACCCTATTTTATGGAGGCGTTCAATAGAAAAAAAGTTCACCTGGGTTAATTTTCTTTTGAATGAGTTGTACGGCAAAACCATGTTTCTATCACGTAAGGATGTCCAAAAGGCTAAAGGCTGTTTGGAAATGGCACCACAGTGCTTGGTTTCTTTCCTACCCACAATAGACTTCTTACTGTTAACCCACTGAAATGTGAAGCATATTAAGATGAGCTAGGGACTAAAGCTTGATGGATTCAGAAGCAGACAATGTTCTTCTCAGGACATTACCCAGGGAGGAGCCTCTTAGGAAACCCTGGAACCCTATTGGGGGTCCTCATATAGATCCCATGCCAGACCAAAACCAGAGGGACACCTCTTAATATCTGAACTTTCTGTAAGGGGTTATATGCTTCAAACATAGATATTAAGTTAGGTGTGCTCTGCTTTCCGAAACCAACCACCAGAGCGGGCAATAGAAGCAGGCTGTCTGCATCTTTCTTTCTCTGAGTTTTGCTGGAAAGACAGGGACCATAGAGACACAGCAGAGAATAAATGAAAACAGCTTTCTCCCTCCACAACGGTCAAAGACCCAGAGACCAGAATAGAAGCCACTACAGCTGGTGGATTTTCCCAAAGAAAGTATAGTGAGTTTGTCTCAGCCACGTTGCTCCTAGAAATCTATCTTTCTCTTTACAT